AGACCGGCAACCATCTGTCCAGGAGGCTATAAAAAGGATTTCTACATCGATGGGAAACTGAGAAACCACCTTCTAAGAATGATTCCAATTCCAATATGCTAATACCCCTATTAAGTCAAGAAAGTAGAAGCTTTGCTAAATCATGTACAGTAGAATCTAAATCCAAAGTACTTGGATGAAAGGCAAGAGCTTTCCCTCTGAAGCAGAACTAGAGAAGAGGCATGATCCATTCATTTGTTCTTCGATTTATTAACTTTTTTCAATATATGTGCATTTGATCTTCAAATATGCGCTAGGCACTAAAGATTTTCTGTTGTTGTTATTCAGTCCCTAAGTCATGTCTGACTCTGTGACCGCATAGACTATAGCATGCCAGGCTCTTCTGTCCCGGAGTTTGCTCAAATTCACATCCATTGAGTTGGTGATGCTATCTAACCATCTCATCCTCTGCTGCCCCTTCTTCTCTCACCTTCAGTCCTCCCCAGCATTGAGAGTTTTTTTCCAGTGAACTGGCCCTCTGCATCAGGTGGCCGAAGTATTGAAGCTTCAGTTTCAGCAAGTCCTTCCAATGAATAATCAGAATTGATTTCCTTTAGGATTGACTGGTTTGATCTCCTTGCTATCCAAGGGACTCTCCTAAGAGTAGCCAAGAGCCCATTTTCATAGTGTTTACATTCTAGTGGCTATGCTATAGTGGAAAGACACAGTCTTTGTATTCAGAAATATCTGAATGGCAGTCATAGCCTCTACTAGACAAGTAAACTTGGGCTGCCTTCTGTGATCTTCAACGTCTTTGGTTAAATGGGAGCTAGAACATCAACCTCATACAGTAGCACGAAGGTTACATGAAATAATGCATATATGTAAAATACCTAGGAAAGGCCAGGAACAAAGAAATTAATCAATAAATAGTGTTTCCCATGCCTAGTTAGAGCACGAATGGCTCTGGGTGAAAGGGAAAATTCCAGCTTTATATCTTCTGCATAATCTCCATGAAACTCAGAAGAAAGTAAAAGGTTAGGCAGAACTCAGGGAGAAATTGAATTATAAAATGAATCAGATCAATATACTTTGAATGAAAAAGTGAAAGAGTATAAGTTCATTTGTTTATTCATTCATTCAATAAAAATGCAATGAGTATCTCTAGCAAATTAGTACCTGTCCTAGGTACTTGGGGACTTCCTAGATGGCACTTGGGGTAAAGAATCCACCTGCTGATGCTGGAGACCCAAGAGACACAGGTTATATCCCTAAATTGGGAAGATCTTCTGTAGAAGGAAATGGCAACCCACTCCTATTCTTGCCTGGAAAATCTCATGGGCAGGGGAACCTGGCAGGCTATAGCCCAAGGGGTTGTAAAGAGTCAGACATGACTAAGCAACTGAGTGCGCACACACACACTAGGTACTTGGAACCTAGCAGTAACCAAAACAGAAAAATTCCTTCCCTTATAAGGCTTATATTTTGCTGAGGGGTAGAAATATAAGAAATAAAATGTAAGGGAATTGTCATAATGCCACGTGGCTCTAAGTGCTAAACAAGTGATGCTACTCCCTGGTGCTCAGGAAATGTGAAGGAAGTAGAAGTTCCCAGGTGTTTGTGTAGCTAGAGAAGGCTTGAAATGGGGAGCGGGGAAGCTGGGGCTAAAGGAGGACATGACTATAGCCTCGTGATGCTCCTTAGCAAAGAGGAGACAGCGTGATGATGTGCGGAACTGCGGCATCTGTATTTGAAAAATCTGCAGTGATTGCAGGCCAAGAGGTGTTGATGAACCAATGCTTGAAGCTTTGGGCAGTAGGGTCATTTTGTAGTTGAATAGAAGGATTCAGCTAAGTTCAAAGCTTGGCTTGACTATTTGTTTGGCCAAAATGTTCATTCACGTTTTTCTGTGCCATCTTGTGGAAAATGTTGAATGAACCTTTTGGCCAACCCAAAACTTAGTAGGTTACTTTGAGCAATCGTCTAGGTCATAGAGCTGGGATGAGGATTCACTGAGAGATTCCCTTTAAAGTATTCAGCACATATCAATACATTTATATCAATAAATTGTTACTATTATTACTATGTTATCAAGGCACATTAACCAAGTACACACAGACCTGGTTTTACTGCACTTCATTGTGCTTTGTAGATACTGCTGTTTTGTGGTTTTGCTCTTGTTTTTTTTTTTTTTTAACAAATGAAAGTTTGTGGCAACCTTGCATCTAGCAAGTCTTTGAGTGCCATTTTTCCAACAGAAATTGCTTGCTCCACGTTATGGTAACTGTAGCCACATTATGGTAACGGAAATGTACGATAACATTTCAAACTTTTTCATTATTATTATATTTGTCATGGTGATCAATGATTGATGTTACTACTATAACTTACTGAGGCTCAGGTCATGGTTAGAATTTTTTAGCAATAAAGTATTTTAAATTAAATTATTTTTAGACACAATGTTATTGCACACTTAATAGACTACAGTAGAGTGTGGACATAACTTTTATATGCACCAAAATTTTTGCATGACTCTATTTATGGTTATATTCACTTAATTGTGAGGTCTGGAACCAACGTCGAAGTATCTCTGAGGTCCGTCTGTAAATTTATTCTCCGTTGCTTCTGTAACAAATAGCCAAAAACTCAGCAATTTAACTTGACATCCATTTGTTAACTCAGTTTGTGAGTCAGAAATCTGGTTGAACTTAGCTGAGCTCTCTGCTCACCTGATTACATGGCAGAAATCCTGGTGTCAGCTAGGCTGGGCTCTTATCTGGAGGTTCTGGGGAAGAATCCTTTCCCAAGTTCCTCTACATTGTTGGGAAAATTCAGTTCCTTGTGGTTTTGGGACTGAGGTCCTCTTCTCTTTGCTGCCAGGGTCACTCTCTTCTCTTCGAGGCTCTCCGTTTTCCCTCTTTCATAGCCCCTCCATCGTCAAACCAGCCACATTGCACCACGATCTTCTACACTTTGAAACTCATTGACTATTCAGGGTCTTTGATGCTTCCATCAATATTTAGGATTATTTGTTCTAGTTCTGTGAAAAAATGCCCTTGATATTTTGATAGGGATTGCATTAAATCTGTAGATTTCTTTGGGTAGTATGGACATTTTAACCATATCAATTTTTACATCCATGAACATAGGATATCTTTCTATTTCTTTGTATCATCTTTAATTTCCTTTCATCAATGTCTTATACTTTTCAGAGTATAGGTGTTTCACCTCCTTGGTTAAATTGATTTCTATATATTTTATTCTTTTTGATGCAATTGTAGATGGGAAGTTATAAACCATTATTTTATCAAATATGTTTTCTGTCCTTTATCCTCTATTTTCTCCTTTTGGGATCCCTATAGTGCAAATGTTAATATGCTTGATGTTTTCTCAGAGGTCCCTTAAATGATCCCCATTTAATTTTTTGTTAGTTTCTTTTGGCTGTTCTGATTGGGTGAATCACACTGTTTCATCTTCATCAGACTATTCCACTATTCCATCTTTCAGGTCACTTATGCATTCTTCTGGATCACTTAATCTGCTGTCAATTCCCTCTAGCATATTTTTTCATTGCAATTCTTGTATCCTTCAGTTCTAATTCTCTTTTATATTTTCTAGTTCTTTGTTGAAGTTCTCTTTAGTTTCTCTATTCTTTTCCCAAATTCAATGAGCATTTCTATCACTATTGCTTTGACCTCTTCATCAGGTAAATTATTAATCTCCTTTTCATTAGGATTTTTCTGGGTTTTATCATATTCTTTCATTTGAACATATTCTCCTGTCTTCTCATTTTGTTTGACTCTCTTTGTTTGTCTCTATGCACTTAGGCAAAACAGTTACCTACCCCAGTCTTGAAGGTATGTCCTTGTGCAGGAGCATTGCAATTCAGTCTGCATGTGGCCAGTGGCTTTGGTGTGAGAGCTGGATCTTAAGTGAGCAGGGAACACATCTTCTTTCAGGTGTACTGACAGCTGCCTTGGTGGTAGGTGGGGCTGGAGTCAGAGGGGCCAGAGGCAGAGCCAGGTGAGAACAAGGGTTTCTCTTAAGCTCAGTGGCTGTCACTGCCCTCTTGGGGACACAGGACTGGGGCCAGAGGGCTGGACCAGGAGCCCTGAGGGTGCTGGGCTTCTCGCTTGAGTGACAGCAGTCTCTACCTTGATCAGAGGCTGGATTGGGGCCCACTGGGTTAGAACCACATTTGTGAGCTGGCTCCACTTTTTTCCCTACTCTTTGCACACCATGGCAATAGCAGTTTCCACCTTAGTGAGGAGCAATTCTGGAGCAGGAGGGGCTGAAGCAGGGGCCAGTGTGGCTGGGGGCAGGCTGGAGTGGTCCCATCAGGCCAGCCAGAGTACCAGGCAGTTTTCAATGCTGCCTCTCCATGGGGACCGGGAGAAAGCAAGTCTGTACATGCGCTCTTCAAGAACGGAGGCTCAGTTCCTTACAGCCCTCTAATAAGCCCCCCTGGTTTTCAAATCAGCTAAAGGGGGCTAATCTACCCTTAGCCCTACCATGCCCTACCATGTTAGGGCAGGATTGCCTAACATGGGCTTGAACCCCTGACTCCTTCGGGAGAACCCTGAGCCTGGGATACCCCCCTCTTTTTCTGGGTCACTTGTTAGGGCTGTGGGTCCTGACTAGATCATCTCCTTCCCCCTCACCGGACTCTGGGGTCCTTTCTTTACAGCCTTGGTTGTAGAAGAGCCATGCTGCTGGTCTTCAGGTCTTTCTCAGCAAGAGTTGTTCTATATGTAGCATTGATCTGCTCATGGGGCAGGGGGAACGGGGGAACAGTAAGTTCAGGATCTTCTTACTCTGCCATCTGGAGCCCACCTTCTTGGGAGTCTATTTTGACTCCTGCTTGGGCTGCAGAAGGCTTCCCTGGTGGCTCAGATGGTACAGAATCCACGAGCAGTGCAGGAGACCTGGGTTCGATCCTTGGGTCGGGAAGATCCCCTGGAGGAGGATGTGGCTACCCACTCCAATATTCTTGCCTGGAGAATCCCCATGACAGAGGAGTCTGGCAGGCTGCAGTCTATGGGGTCGCAAAGACTTGAGCCTGAAGTTCTGGAGACATAACAAATGGGGATAACAACAATTCCTGCAAAGGAATTATCTCAAGGTTAAATAAAATTCATATTTAAAATTCAGACACAATTCTTGGACCATAGAAGACACCAGTACCTAACATAGACAAAGAGACTTATGCTCATTTGAAAAGGTAAATGAAACATTTCATTCTTTTTTCTACAACTTTCCACCCATTTTTAGCTTCTAATACCCTGTTGACTTATATTTGCCTTTTCTATCTTATGAGATATTTCCCTGAAAGAAACAGACATAAAGTGGGGGAGGGGGGAATATGATTTTCTCATTGTTATATCAGAGTTTTGTAGCTGGCCTCAAATGGGCAACCTATCTCTTACTTGCATGTTTAAAGTTCTTTTTTTTCTTTTAAGTTCTTTTTGACTAGTGTGAGGCTTGCACGGGACTGGACAGAAAGATCAATGGAACAAAATAGATAGCCTGGGAATAGATTCCAGGATGTATGAGAATTTAATATGTGATAAAGGAGACATCACACATCAATGAAAAAAGGAAAGATTATTTAACAAATGGTGCCAGGACCTCTGGGCAGCAATTTAGGGGAAAAAATCAATTTTAGGCCCTTACTTCACATCATGCGGAGAAATCAATTCCAGATGGATTGAAGAATTAAATATAAAAAATATCAAATCTTCGAAACACTAGAGGAAAAAAGAGAAGTGAATAACAATCCAATCTCTAGAGAAGTAAAAACTTTTCAAGCATAGAGCCAGAAAATAAAACACAGAGAATAAAATCAAGAGATTCAGCTACTTATGATTTTTTAAAATCTTGACACATGGACATTCAAAGGCTAAAATCAGACTTAAAATAATAGTTACAGTAAATATTAACAATGTGCTAAATTTTCTACACATGGCTCATAACAATTAATGTGAACTAATGCTATAGAGTAGTTCAGATGGTAAAGAATCTGTGTGCCATGTAGGAGACCCAGGTTTGATCCCTGGGTCAGGAAGATCCCCTAGAGGAGGACATGGAAACCCACTGTAGTATTCTTACCTGAAAAATCCCATTGACAGAAGACCTTGGCGGGCAACAGTCCATGGGATCACAAAGAGTTGAACATGACTAAGCAACCAACACTACTAATGCTATAAACACCATAGTAAAGATAAAGCATAATGTAATTTTGTGCTAAGAACATTGGTACTAGGCAGATAAGGTAAATCCATACTTGTAATCTGTGCCTATCTCTGCCAAACAAAGGGTTACCCTTATCTGTGAAGGGAAGGATGCAGTGATACCAACATTGTAACAAATAGCTTAACTCTTCCTCCTGGAATGGTGCCATATCCAGAGCTTAGAGTTGGCCCGTGATCTTGCCAACCAAGTTAGCATCCAGCATGGCACAGCCAGGCCAGCACTGTTAAAGGGAACTCCATGATGCTGAGATCATGATGGTCTCCATCTCTTTGGTTATGGGTACCACTCTGTATATATGGGTCCATTGAGCAAACACCAGAGTGTCCAAGACTGACAAATGCAAAGTATTGTTTCTTGTCCACCTGATTTATAAAAGCTTCTTCTGTAGAGTCACAGATGTAGAAAACAAACACGGTTAGCAGGAGATAAGGTAGGGGGAATAAACTGAGAGATGGACACTGACATATACATACCACTATATATAAAATGGTAACTAATAAGAACCAGCTCCATAGGACAGAGAACTACACTCAATATTCTGTAATGGTCCATATCGGAAAAGAATCTCAAAAAGAAAAAAAACCTTTCTCTGCAATGAATACCCACAGACAGAAATTCATGTAGAATAGAAATGTCTCTCTACCTACTCTAAGTAGGTCTAGATCTATCTCTTCCTTATAAATATCTTTGTCCCCAATCATTCAATCCTTTTCCATCCTCCAAGAAACCATCTAATGCACTGAACACTGCTCATTGAGTCAGTGTGTTGATCTGATGCTCAGACCATCTTTCCTTCCCCACGAATTGGACCACAAGACATAGCACCTGAGGTTCTTATTTTTGGAATTCTTCCCTCCATTGCTCTCAGAGAGGTCCCAGAGTAGGAAAGAAGCAGCCACCCATTTCCAGTTTATTCTTTCATACTTTGCAGACCCATCATCAAGCCAGGCCTACATGTTTTGCTCTTCTAGTAACCAACATAGGGAACTACTCATGAAGCCAGATGAAAGAGTTGAGGGACAGACAGCAAAGCAGTAGATTAACTTCAAAGTCTTACCATCCGTTACGTGTAGTTTACTGGTATCTCCAGAACAATGCAGACCTTGCACCACATATTCCATTTGTATTTTGTAATGAAATGCTACTCTACATGCCAATGTTATGCTTCAGGGTCTCATGTAACATCAAGGTCATGAGTCAGCTCCCATAGTCACTTAGTATCTCATGGCTGGACATTCAGCTTCTACCTGGGTCCAAGAGCTGCTTTTCAAAAAGAGAATAATTGTCACAGAAGAAGATCTCAATACAAACCCCAGGTGTCAGGCCCCTTTTGGGACTTGCCAGAGGCTTCACACAGTATCACTGTTTGCTGTCGATGTTTTCTGTGCCATGGGGCCTGCAGCAGCATCAGGAAACTCCGTATCACTTTGCACCACAGACTGGACTTGTTCCAGAGCCATATTTTGCTCTAAGCCCCACTCAAAACTGTCATCATTATGAGCTACTCAATAAATGGATCAAAGGAGCATGACCAAGTAAGATATATGCTGCCTACAAAACACAAAAAAAGACCCACCAAGAGTGTATCTTTCTTCGTGGTGGGGGTAAAAAGCAGAGCAACCACTCTGGCTTCAGTGACAAAATGCTGGTAAGCCTAGGACCATTGGAACCTGCAAACCTCATCAGCATGATAGCTATTGGAAAGTTTAGCAGAATTTACCTCCTACCTTCTGACATGGACATATTTGCCAAGGTTTGTGGGGTGTTTGAAATTTCCTGTTAACCATGATATATGCACATATATATATTCCAAGACTGGGGGGAATGAGTGAGTGTTTGGGCCACTTGATCCATGTGCCAAGATCCCATCTATTATCTTATCTCTACAAGATAATGGGTGGACGATCAGGGCAATATTTCAGGTTCCTGCATATTAATATCAGTTAGGAGCTAGGATTTGGTGATTACAGAATATGTAGATGTTATCCTTTCTTTCAAAGTGTAACCATCCTAATATGTGACTACAGGTACTTTTGGAGAAGACGTTAGGGAAGATTCACATTATACGTGTAATAAAACACTGTAGAATCTTTGTTCAAGGAGGGACAGACAGTCTCATCCACAGTTAATAGGTTGTGGATAGATATGTGAATTGGCTTAAGCTTAGAGACTAAGTACAAGGCTGAAAATCCCTACTGCAGGACTTAAGCCATATTTCTGCCCAATTGTCTTAGAATTTTTACTATCTATGTAAAGCAGCACATTCATAGATTATTTTATATTTAGAGACACTGTGATCAATACCATCTTTACAGATCCCCGATAGTTAAAAATTCAGATGAGCAATCTATCTCTGTGGCTATCCTGTTCCCTGCACCCACATTGTCTCCACTGGTTACTTAAAAGCTGCCACCTAGTTTACATCAGTCTGGGACTCTATTAACTCCATCATGATCAATAAATCCAATTCCAAAATCCATCCTGCAGAAGACAGCCCATACAGTGTGTTTCAAGGATGCCTCTGTTCCTCTCACCAATGAATTCTTAGTGTCTTAAGCCAGTAGTCCCCAAACTCTTTGGCACCAGGGGCCAATTTTATGAAAGACAATTTTTCCACAGACTGTGGCAGGGGGAGGAGGGTGTGGTTTCAGGATGATTCAAGTACATTACTGCTATTTTGCAATTTATTTCTGTTATTATTACAGCACCTCTACCTTGGGTCATCAGGCATTAGATACCGGAGATGGGGGACCCCTGTCTTAAAGGACCCATTTGATGCATCTGTGAGGGTATAGTCAGGGGCAGTCTAAACAGATTATGTGTGATAGATCCATTCTAACTCTCCCCTCTCCCTGGGCCTTCCTCTGAAGGCTGAGATATACTCAGCCTCTGAAATATGCTCAGAAAGCTGCAGTATTTTCACCTTATTAACTTACACTCTTTGAATCCAAGTTTCAATTATCCAACCTAAGAGGTGTTGGGTGTCTAGGCTATATGGCTTAATTAACACCTTAAGTCCCAGATCCTAGAAGGAAACTCCCATGTCCATGAATTTGGCCCATTAGAACTTGCTATTCTACCCGCCTTGAACTAAAACCCTTGTAATCCAGTCCCACACACATTTCCCACGACTTTTCTGGTGAATAAGCTCTTTCATTGGAACAGGCCTTGTACTTCTCAGCCCTTGCTATGTTGATTTTGGTTATGAACCTAGAGATGATGAGATGTTCAGGCAGTGAGTGCAGAGACATTCAGCATCACCTTTCAATTATCAGTTTCTTTTTTTTTTCCATTTATTTTTATTAGCTGGAGGCTAATTACTTTACAATATTGTAGTGGTTTTTGCCATACATTGACATGAATCAGCCATGGATTTACATGTGTTCCCCATCCTGATCCCCCCTCCCATCTCCCTCTCTATCCCATCCCTCTGGGTCTTNTGAGAAAGAAGAATGGAACTGGAGGAATCAACCTGCCTGACTTCAGACTCTACTACAAAGCCACAGTCATCAAGACAGTATGGTACTGGCACAAAGACAGAAATATAGATCAATGGAACAGAATAGAAAGCCCAGAGATAAATCCACGAACCTATGGTCACCTTATCTTCGACAAAGGAGGCAAGGATATACAATGGAAAAAAGACAACCTCTTTAACAAGTGGTGCTGGGAAAACTGGTCAGCCACTTGTAAAAGAATGAAACTATCAGTTTCTTTTTAAGGCTGCACATCAGATGGCAAGGGTGTTGATCGTGGCTGGGGACAAGGAAGGTACAGGGTAGAGCTGCTTCTGTAGCCAACGAGATTCAGAGTCATCAAAGAAATCTGAAGACTTGTTTTTCAGTCTCAGTCACCCATGTCTGCCAGATGTTTTCATCTCATATCCTAGGATCGCAGACTTTCCCCACCACTCTCTCTTACCTGTGGGGCAGAGCACACAGAATGTGCAAATGATGGATGCTACAGATTCTGCAACCCACCACAGAGACAGCTGGCTTGGAGTTCACCACAGCTTGCAGCTATCTTATCACACCTAGTTTGCATCAGTCTGGGATTCCATTAACTCCATCATGATTAAGAAATCCAATTCCAAAATCCATCTTACGGAAGACAGCCCATACAGTGTGTTTCAAGGATGCCACTGTTCCTCTCACCAATGAATTTTTAGTGTCTTAGACCAGTAGTCCCCAAATTTTTGGCACCAGGGGCCGATTTCATGGAAGACAATTTTTCCACAGACTGAGAGAGGGTGATTTCAGAATGATTCAAGGTGGCACACCACAGCTATCTTATCAGTTGAAGGGCTTCTTTGGACATTACATCAAAGCCTCCTGATTGTCCATCACACTTCTCAGCCGGACATTTACAGCTTGCAAATTCTCCTTTTCCTAAATCATACTTTCTAAGGCCATCAAAAGAGGCCATGTGAACTCATAATATTTACAATCATTGTCATCACAGCAACAAAGTGTCACAGGCACTTAACTCCCCTCCACCTTTCACCCACCCACACTTCATCCATGCTTGTAATTGTTGTTCAATCGCTGGTTGTGCCCAACTCTTTGCGACCCGTGGGCTGCAGCACGCCAGGCTTCCCTGTCCTTCAGTAGCTCCTGGAGTTTGCTCAAACTAATGTCCACTGAGTTAGTGATGCCATCCAGCCATCTCATCCTCTGTTGCCCCCTTCTCTTCCTGTCTTCAATCTTTCCCACCATTAGTGTCTTTTCCAATAAGTCAGCTTTTCGCATAAGGTGGCCAAAGTATTGAAGCTTCAGCTTCAGAATCAGTCCTTCCAATGAATATTCAGGGTTGATTCCCTTTCGGATTGACTGATTTGATCTCCTTGCTGTCCAAGGGACTCTTAAGAGTCTTCTCCAGGACCACAGTTTGAAAGCATGAATTCTTCAGCACTCAGCCTTCTTTATGGTCCAACTCTTAAGTCTGTACATGACTACTGGAAAAACCATAGCTTTGACTATATAGACCTTTGTTGGCAAAGGGATGTCTTTGCTTTTTAATATGCTGTTTGGTTTGTCATAACTTTTCTTCCAAAGAGCAAGTCTTTTAATTATCTTGTTTCAGTCATTGTCCACAGTGATTTTGGAATCCAAGAAGCAAAATCTGCCACTCTTTCCACTTTTTCCCCATCTATTTGCCATGAAGTGATGGGACCAGATGTCAAGATCTTAGTTTTTTGAATGTTGAGTTGTTTGGATTTCCTTCCCCATAGAGCCTTGAGAACAGTTTCCTGTGCTATGTAGTAAGTTCTCATTAGTTATCTAATTTATACATAGTATCAATATTATTATATGTGTCAATCCCATTTCCTCCCACCTCCTCTTTACCCCTTGGCATCCATATATTTGTTCACATGTCTGTATCTCTATTTCTGCTTTGCAAATAAAATAATCTGTACCATTTTTCAAGATTCCACATGTATGCATTAATATACAATGTTTCTCTCTGTCTGATTTAATTTGATATGAGCCTAAGCATACAATCAAACCATGCAGTGCATTCCCCCGGAGTGGCTGCATCCGCTCAGTCTGAAGAAGAGGGAGAAAGAAATGGTTTCTGAAACCTGAGAAGAGGATGTCATGTGGAGAAGAGTTCCTCAACAGGCGCCTTGATCTTCAGCTGAAGAATGAAGTCTGCCTGCAGGGAATTGTAGGAAGAGAGTCAGGAGAAAATTTAACCCAACATATCATTCTATTCCTCCTTCTGACCTCCTGCTGAGCTTCCTCATTAGGCAAATGTTTACTGGAATCCAGAGAGAAGAGAAGCTGTTGATGTGTCCACACCAGCCAGACTCTCAGGACATAGATGAGGGCTGAGGAGAGTGGGTGTCAAAAGACAAAGTAGAAACATCTAGCAGAGTGCAGAAGCACAGTGCGTTTCCTTGTCCTCATGATATGATTAAGTTTAGGAATAGATATGTAGGAGGGAAAATTAGAAAAAGTAAAATTAAATGTTAATATTTTTGTTAGATTACAGGTGTCTTTTATCTTCATAAACCTATTTCTTGAAAAATCTGAATTGCAATGGTAGCTAGATTTTAGACTCTTTAAGAATAGATACTGTGGCATTTATTTTGTATTGAAGTAGAGTTAATTCACAATGCTGTGTCAGTTTCAAGTACACAGTACTGCAATTCAGTATATATACATATATATATATATATTGGACTATATATAACTACTATATATATACATATATATATTGGACTATATATAACTACTATATACATACATATATATATGTGCATATATGAGAGTCTTTTTCCCTTAGGTTATTACAAAATATTGAGTAGAATTCCCTGTGCTACATAGTAGGTCTTTGTTGGTTGTCTGCTATAAATATAGTAGCTTGTATATGTTCATCCCAACCTCCTAATTTTTTCCTCTCCAACCTTTGATAATCTTCAGTTTGCTTTCTATGTGTGTGGGTCTATTTCTGTTTTATAAATAAGTTCACTTGTATCTTGTTTTTTTTAGAATCTGCATATACGTGATACCATATGATAATCTGTCTTTCTCTGTCTAGCTTACTTCACTTAAAATGATAATGTCTAGGTCCATTAATGT